TGTGCCACAGCCCCACGGACGCACAGAAAGCACAGGAGCCACAGACGACACGCAACCCCGTGGCCCACATACAGGTGGCTGCTGCGTGGCTCCCACATCGACATGTGGTGTCTCCTTCGCCTGTCTCTTCTGGGGAGGAAAAACAAACGGGTTCAATCCCCTCTTCACCCCTCCTTCCACTCATGTGGCCAATACAGAGAGGTGTCCCCCCGCCCTGGGCAGCCTCCATCTCTTTGCTGCCAGGATGCTGGAGCACAGCAGTCGGCAGTGAACCCCCCACGTGTTCACACTGCACACTGGCCCCACGATGCTCACACTCTCAGATTCCCACACCCCCTCACACTCTCAGATTCCCACACCCCACTGCAGCACACCTCGCCGCCGGCCAGGTTGATGCACGCAGCAATGCTCATGCCAGGGATATGGATCCATGTGGTGGGGGCAGGGCCACTGTCACCTAAGCAGCCCCAGCAGAGAAAAAGCCTACCAGGGCTGTCAGTGCTCTTCATCTCCACCGACTTCAGGCAGCTGGGAAGATTCAAGGTTGTATCCTTTGTATCAGCACAGAGAGGATTCAGATACCCACAGTTCTGAGCAAACAGCCACGAGCGTAAGAAAACGCGCAGGCAGTGATTTACAGGTTTTGCTTTTGCAAACATGGTGTATGTGTGTGCGTGTGAAGGATGTGCAAGCAAATATACCCCAACCACGCAGGACCAACCGCCCGTGCGTGTACAGAGCTCACATGGGTGAGATGCGGCACACCTTGCTGCCATCCTGCGAGCGCAATGACACCTTCAGCCCAGGGGTGAGTCGCTCTGGTGGCCACAGGAACGTCCCCATGCCACGCTCAAGGCAGAGAGCGAGTTGCAGGTGCCTGCCACCGGCCCCGCAGTGAGTGGCCGAGTCTTCAACCACATCCACGCACCACGTTCAGCACTGACACATGACAGCAGCCACATGCGTCCATCCGGCCACCCACTCGTCAAGCAGCCCCGAGCCATCTGCACCAACGGTGCCCATGTACAAATACAATACTCGGAGCAGCACCGCAGCCGCCCACGCCAACCTGGCCCCGTGGGAGCACTCATCCCCGAGCACCACCGGACCTCTCCGCAGGCAGGAACGCACTGGGTACCCACATAGAGATGAAGCCATCTGTGTCTGCGCACACCTAAACGTGGAGACTGGTTCGGCTTCGCAGAATTTCCAACAGCCCTTCGGTACCAGCTCTGCTCTGGCTTGTCTCTTGCTGTGATGTCCCCACTGTCCCTCCCCGGGTGCTGGCATCAGCGTAGCACCACCAAAAGCACATTGGACCTGACGCTGGGGAAGGTCGCCTCTGTAGCATTGCACTCCCTTCCCTACCCCTGACACTGTCCGTCCTGATGAGGGGGAGAAGCTGGAGGAAAGATCTGCCAACATTAATACTTCCCATTTCGAAGCCAGTAGAACAGCAACAAAAGGTTACAGAGATGTTTTCTTCACCAGCTATAGCTGACAATGGCTAAAAAACTCTAGCAGGGCTGTGCGGCATGGGCAAACCCTTTAGTGCCCTAACATAGTTTATCTCCTCCTTTTACTCTCTCCTATCTGTCCATCCTCCAGTCTCTTCTGCAGCCTAAATCCCTTTATTCCCTCACCTTATCCGACACATTCCTGCGGGCAGCCAGAGCCAGTCACAACACACAGACTCTGCCCTTACTCCCATAAACCCCACCCCCCAGTATCTGGCCATGCACAGATTAATGATGAACCTCACATCAGCCCCAAACCAGGGCGATATCTGCAGCTGCTAGGAGACCAGGCAGGGTATACGAGTACTCCCCAGCTCCTGCTGCCCCTAAAACAATTGGTCATGCTGGAAGGACAGGACCATTGCATCCCACTGCTGCCAAGCTGGGAAGCTGGGGCTGTTCCCAATGCTGCCTCTGACCCGCTCCGGATCAGAGCTCACCGGAAGACAGCGGTTTCTCTCAGCAAATCTGCAAGAGATTCTGCCGTGTACCAGCTTGGCTGGGTTTCAAAGCATAATGAAACCTAAAATTCCCTGGGAAGGGATTCTATAAAAAAAGAAAGAAAAAAAACATTCCTTTCAGCTGTACTGAAATGTACTGTTTTGGGAAACAAATCAAAACGCCTCGTTCCAATGTTGACTTCGAAAGTTTTATGTGATTTAGACCATATGACACTACAAAATAAAGGGGAAAAAGGCATCTAGAAAGGAAAAAAACCAGAATTTTCTTCTGCTGAAATGCAGAGACAAGGCTCCTTAACACTATGCCAGGGTTTTATGTGGTTTGGGGCTTTTTTTCTTGCCCAAATCCAATTCCTCTACAATCAAACGTGGTTTTGCAAACCTGCTCCGTCTCTCATAACCGCATTGGCTGCCAGGGAAGGAACCTGGAGGAGATTTGTGACACCACTGCTCCCTTCTTCCCCAGCCCTTGCTGCAATCCTGCAGCTCCACCATGAATAAACGCTCCCCGGGAAAAAATGTCACCCTTCCTCAGGAAAAAACGAAGATGCCTTCCTCCTCCCCAGCCTCCTTCCCCACCCCTAGCAGCAGCCCTGAGAGTTTGAGCTGTATATTTGGGGTAGCAAGCCTTTCTTTAGTGGATTTCTGCCATGCCTAAGCACTGAGGCTGCTGACTGGAGTCCTGCTGGGTGACCTGATCCTGCTCCAACACCTCTCCGAAGGCACAGATGCCCATGAGGAGCACGCTCTTACATCTCCATCCATCCTCAGGAAGGCACCCAGAGAGGGAGTCACCCCATGTGGGCACCCTTTTTTATTGTGGCAGCCCCAAAATGCTCCACTCTGCTTCAGCTCTCTACCCTGCTGAGAAGCCCAGGGAGGAATCGGAGTAGCAGTGGGAAGCAGGAGGATCACTCACTCGATAGCAGGCATGTTTGGGGCAGACATGGGGCTGACTTCTTTGGCTTTCTGAAGGGCGTGCTTCTGGTTAAAGGCCTCCTCTTCCTCCTGCTCATCCTGCAGAGGTAAGAGGAGAGTCTCTTAGTGGGTTGCTGGGGTTTCAAGGGGAGATGCAGCCATCGGAGGCTGCGAAGGGACGTGTGGGGCTACCTTCGATGCCAAGGCGTGCAGAACAAAAGGGGAGCTGGCACCTATATTTCCAGAGACAGCCTTTAGTTTATTACGAGGACACAACTTCCCTGCCACGCCAGATCTTACTGAAGGCGTCAGCGCTACTTAAATAAGTGAACCCAGCCCACTCCAGGCAAAAGCTGAGCTGTGCACGCTAGAGCAGCCCCAGACGGCGTCGAGCAGCTCAGCCCTCTCTTCTTCACAGCCACAGGGACGAGACAGGCATCCCCCCGCTGGAGTGGGAGGCAAGGCATCCATGAATGACCCCAGCAGAGACCATACTGCTTTAATGAGCAGAGTTGTGTCTCTGGTGCAAAAAAATGTCATTAGGAGTCATTAGCATGCATTCAGCCTTTTCAGAAACTCAGCGCTCTCTGAATTGATGCTGCTGGGACCCCGCTGGGCTCCCCCACTCCTCTCACTCCAGCAGCAGCAGGCAGCCCCTGGAAGCGTCACCTGCATCAGCTGCAGGAGGACAGGGACTCCTGCATGCATCCCTCAGGCAAATAAGGTCAGATTTACACCAGTATGGAAGCCTCTCGGTAAACCCCAAGGACCTGAGTAGTAGACATGGGCTCTGGAAAAAAAATGGGCACCACAGGATCCCTGGTCCTCTCCAAAGAGCAGAAATGACCCTTGCAGCTCTCGCCTACTCACCGTTATCCAGATGGTGCCCCAACATTTCAGCCTTTCCCAAATATTTCCCAGCATGGTCTTAAAAACAAGTTAAGCCAAATAATCTTCTCAAGCACCGTCCTAAATTGCATCCTAAATCACATCCACTGCCCTGCAGGCAGATGGAGAATAAATCCTGACACCAGTGGAAAGCACTTCCCACTCCACATCTCCAGAGTGCTCGGGCAAATAACCATCCCCGCATCAGATCCCACCAGACAGATGAGGGTTATCTCAGTCTGACTGGAGGCAAATGAAGCTGGAGAGCTTAAATGGAGAAACAGTTAAGCCACATGTGGTGAGAAGCATGGGTGTTCCTGGAGAGACACGAGACCGACAGGTTTAAGCACTTTCCTGAATCAAAGTCTCACCAGCTTTGCCCAATGTTAAGGGGTTTGTGTTTCAGGAGAGCACCCTGCATACCCTCCTGGAGGAAGAGTACCCATTTCCAATTTGATCCAATCTCTTTTTCAAGGCAGGCTGAAGACAAGGTGGCCCTGACTGTGGAGTAAGGACAGTGACAGGCAGCGCTCCCAGTGCCTTTCCTGCTGGCCCCATCCTTCACCATCTTCACATCAGCAAGAGAAGAAAAATGAGCAACCAAAACATACCTTGGTGAGCTCCTGAGCATTTGCCAGGTTGTCCACCGCAATGGCCAAGAACACGTTCAGCAGAGTATCTGTGAGCAGCTAAGGATGCACAAGTCACGCGTTAAGGACATGGGTGTCTGCAGCCACCAAGCGAGGTTGACCCTGAGGGCTCCTCCACCAGCTCAGGGAGGAGCAGCCAAACAAACAAACTCCTCATCCATCCCATATGTACAGCGCACAGTGCACCTCCAGACAGCTCCTTCTCTACAATGGGGATATCAAGGGCTGCTGCACATGTGACGGGACTCTCTCAGTTGGGAGAGGAGGAAGGAGCAGTGGGTGGGATGGGAGTGCCCCCAGAGAGGGAGATGAGATGGGGTTATCTCCACTAAAAGCACAGAAGCCAGGTGGATACAGTTTCCAAACAAGGTGAGGACGATGAAGTAGATGGAGGACCACATGCCTGAGCGAACGCCTCCCTGGGAGCGGATGCCGTTGTACATCACCTCGTTCCAGTCCTCACCCGTCAGGATCTGTGGGAAAGCGAGCCAGCAGCTCAGTCACCCGCACCTTCCCATCACCTGGACAACCCCCTCCATCTATCCCACCAGCACGCAGGACCTGAGTACAGAGACTCAGATGAGTTTTGAAACTCCTCCACCTTACATAATGGAGGTGGAAGAGTTTCCACCTCTTGCCAGAGGAGAAGGAAGAAGCAAGTTACATCCTAACAGCTATGGAGCGGAACTGATTTTGTTTAAAGAGCTCCTTCCAGCCAGGGGAGAGTGAGTCCTTTTGGTTGTGTCCCCTTTGCAGCCCAGCTCCTACCTGGAACACCGTCATGATGGCAGCAGGGAAAGTGTCGAAGTTTGCTGATGGCGTCCCATCGATGAAGTTAAACCTGGAAGCGGAACCCAGAGGATATAAATGGGCTGCAGTACCCCAAGGGCATCAAATCACTGACTGCTGTGCTATCAGCTCTCTTGTGCTCAGGAGGACCTTCCTCCACTTTAAGGACTGTCTTCTGAGCATTTGATGCCAGAATCCAAAAGTTCTCCTGGTCAGAGGGACCCACACAGCCCAGAGGCACTTGCTTTGGTACAGGACAGGTACCACTGTTAGAAGCAGGCTGAGGGGCAAGGCTACAATCTTCCTAAGAAGGTGTCATCACTTGGCTGTCACACCAAGAAATTCCTTTTCCCCAGGCTTGAAACAACCTACCTGCCTCCAAACAGCTGCATTCCCAGCAGGGCAAAGACTACAATGAAGAGGAAGAGGAGGAAGAGCAGGCTGATAATAGACTTCATGGAGCTCATCAGCGAGACCACCAAATTCCTCAAAGATGCCCAGTACCTAGAAAACAGAGACAGTGCTGAAGCACTCGCAGTGATGCTGACAGGAGAGCACGAGTGACTGGATCTGGACTGCAGCCACCATCCGAGATGAAGGTTGACAGGCACAGACTATCAGTACTTACTTGGTTATTTTAAATATTCGCAGGAGACGAAGGGCTCGTAGGACACTGATCCCAAAAGAGGTTCCTGGTCTGAAGATAGCCCAAACCACTTCAAAGATGCTTCCCACTGTGACCTGAGAAGCAGACACAGCCATGAGGCAAAGACAGGCTTAGGACAGGCTGTTGCAGGAAATCTTCATGTGTCTGAAGATGAGGCATCCACCACCCTGCCCAAGACCTGATGTCTTGGTCTGGCACAGACCCAGCAGAAAGGGCTCCCCTGCCAGAAGTGCCACCCTGTTCTTCTCCCACTTGTTGCCTTGCACTGCCAAACATCTCCTCCCACAGCACAGCATCTCTGGGGCCACTTACCCCACAGTCGAAGCAGTTGAAGGAAGAATGGAAGTAAAGGCGTGGCCCCATCCCATACATCTTTAAGGACATTTCCAGAAGGAAGAGTCCAAGAAACAGGAACTCTGCATAGTCTGAAAGAGAAAACCCAGACACGCTACCCTTGGGTCACCGAGCTGCACGAAGCATCCTGCATGCACCCACCCATACCCCATAGAGCACGCCACTGAGATGGGGCAAGCTGAGGACCACATGCTTCCCCAAGCTCTCAGGGCCTGGGATGAGATAAGTTTGTCTGTGAGGTGCTAAATTGCATATGACAGAGCATCCCCACAAGTTAATCTTTCAGGGTAGATGCATCAGTGTCCCAGGAGTTTGAGAAGACTGGAGATGGCTGACAAGGAGCACAGCTGCTCTTTAGCGTTATACGATGGTGGTTGGGATGTCTGCAATGACATTAATCACACGACGCGGTAAGGGAATATTAGCAACCAGGATTTAAATCACTGCACAGCTGGAACTTGGCCAGGGTAACTGAGTCAAACAGCCAAGAGCCAGTGAAAAGCTTCTCAAGCTATTTCATGAACATCAGAAAGCAAGAGTCTGGCTCTTCACCTTGTCTAAAATTTGCTTCTCACCATGACCAGCTGCCATACCACACCATGGCATGCTGGGATTCTGGCAGGCCTGAGCATGTTAATGCAGATTTGGGCAGGCTGATGCTTGACGGGGACATTATCAAGGTGAGTAAGAATAACACAGCTGAGAAAACAGCACTGTCCCTATTGCAGCAGCTCAGGAGTAACATGTGGCTGCTGTGGGGTTGACCACGCTGCTCTGCAGTTAGCATCATGCTAGAATGTACATAGGTGTACTGCCTCCAAGACCTGCCCTCGTACCATGGCCCATGGTGGGCTGGGGAATGCTCCAGTAACTGGTTTTAAGCTAGGGATTTTCATGCCATGCTCTGCACCAAAACTTCAACCGGGGTTTCTCCCACGATCGGTCCCATCCCTGTAAACTCATGTCTTTCCAGCAATTGCTTGTGGGCATTCAAAGATGGATCTCTGGCAAGCTTTCCATCACCACTGTTCACAATTTAGTGATAAACCAAACTGGGACCTGCAGTCTGTTTCTCTCTCTTGACAAACACATCAGACCTGAAGGGCATAAGGCCAGTAAAATTCCTCCACATTTGCCTACAGGGCTGAGACAGACATCAGTGGCCACGAGGCCAAGGGCAAAGCTGAATTAAATGGTCCTTTTTTATCAACAATGAAGGTAATTCAGGCCTATTCCCCACCCAGCTCCATACCAGCATGACTCTGGTGGGATTCATCCCCATGTGCCCTGGGGCAAGGAGCAAGGGCATGCTGCAACCTCCAGCTGCTGGAGATAAAAAGGTTGCAGGAGGTTTTGCCTACCCATGCAGTGCTCTCACACCTACAGCAAAGCCCACCCGGGGACTCACAGAGAAAGTGTGTGAGCCAGGCTGGCTGGTTGTGATGGACGATGGCCACGCAGGCAGTGTTGAGAGCCACCAGGCTCAAGACGATCCAATAGAAGACTTGGGATTTCACCATGTGGCGGACGGAGATGCGCAGGAGTCGCTCCTTGTGCCTTAAGTAGGAGGCACCATCCACTCTGGCACCTTTGAGGCCAGAGTGACTCAAGGGGTTACCTAAGGGAAAAGAGGGGGGGAAGAAGAATTTGGGTGCTTCAGTCAAGGTGAGAGGAAGAATTGGGTGGTCCAGCCTTCCCTGCAACAGGAGACAGCACTGACAGCTCACAGACACTGCTTTTATGGGAAATGACTTAACCACCCAGTTTTTAAACTGGGGGTACGGGGGCAGCAGGTGGTTTACCCCATTTGCTGTTAAATTAGCAGAGATGGCTGATCTGTGACAATCTCCACCTGCAGCCCTCACAACATAATAGGCTGGCAGAGGTTTTGAGGAAGAAAGCTCCAAACTGCACTGACCCAAGGTTGGATGAAGAGGTCTTCTCTGCGCCAGCCTCCTCTCGCCCACGGAGGCGATATCGACGCAGTGCTCATCGCTTGAATCACGGTTCATGGCATCCGTCCGGTTCCTTTTGATGGTGGCTCGCCTGAGCACTGGGAAGGGAAGAGGAATGCATGTTGGTGGCCCAACTCTGCCAGTAGCCAGCTCATTGCACCAGGACCTGGTGATCAGTGCTTGGCTAACTCGGGTCTGGGAACAGGACAGGGCTGACCCTAGCCCAGAGCTCTCTCTTGTGTGGGACCAGACATCTCCTGGCCTCCATGCTCTTCCAGAAGTTATGCTGTAAACCCACCTCCCCACATCCCACTTCTGGGCTGCAGACTCCACTTTTGCATCCCAGACCTCCCACCTCCCATCATAGCTGAAGGGTTTCAACCTTCAGCTGCAGGCAGGCAGATTTTTAGGCAGGACATTGCTTGTCTTACCTTCTAAGGCTGACGTCCCAGAATTTTTGTTCTCTTCAGCCAGCATGACTTCCTCTACATGAAACACACAGTTCATCATCAGAAGTCAAGGCATCATTGGCTGAGCAGATCAGATCTCACTGCTCTGTACCTAAGCACTTTGTTCAGCCTGGAGGTGGTTGCTATAGGTTTCAAACTCTTGTCAAGTATTGGTTAAGTGTCCAAAAGCAAATTCTGGTGGGTGGCAAGTGGCACCGACTGCACATTGCATCAGAAAGAAAAATTACTTCTAATCAACCCTTCTTCCTCCACTGTAATTAACTCCACTAAAGCAGCTGATCATTGTAGACAGGTCTGGAGCAAAACATCCCAACCCAGGACCAAAGCTGAGGTCTGAGGCTCAGGCCTCATTTCAAGTTACCCATCTTTTTTCAAGCCTGAACACTAGACGGAAGTGTAAACCTTCCCTTCCTGAACTGATCCTGACGAGGGGCAAGCAGTGGCAGTCTGGGGACCAGCAATGCACAGGCTGTCATGCCTGGTTGGGAATCCGCAGGAAGCC